TCCTCACGATTGTGGGAGCTGGCAAGCGATCATTGGTGCTGCGCCCATCCGCTCCCTGACACGCCCCAGCCTTAGCAGTGAGCAAGGCTGCAACCCTTGTGCTTACGAACAAGCCTACTATTTTTGACCTTCGCGAACTCTCTTCAGGTTGATGCTTAAGAGGATCATCGTGCTCCTTGTTATATTCCTTAGCGAAAAATATCAATAATTATAGCCTCATCCTCTTTCAGGGACGTCCTCGGATTCGTCGCGCAGTTGGCGAGAAAGGTAAACTGTTCTCAGAAGACGAAATTCGTTTTGTGCTTTCGCAAAGAGACATCAGCCAGGTGCTTGCATTCACTGCTCCAAAGCCGGTGAGCTACTACTAAATGCTCAATGTTATCCCTTGTTTTTTGGTGCTATATCATGTAGTGCAGAGGCGAGCGCTTCTTCACTGCTGATAACTATGCGGGACAACCTCGATGTGGCTGGATAGAGATGTCGTAATCGAAGCTGAACGCTTTACCCAACGGAGCTAAACTATTGTTGATGACGTCGCAATTAATCGGGGCGGTGTCAGGGGGGAGAAATGAGGAATGCTTTGCTTACAAATGGTGATCGGTTATTGACCGATTCAGAAAGAATACAACCAGTGTTGGAAGTGCCGAGGTAGGCTCTTCAATGCTTCTGAAACTACCCCAACGGACTCCGACGATATCAATTGTATTTAACAGTCTTCGTCAAATTTTTTCTTTTGTTCTATTGTACTTTGCACCTTGGACTATTTTTTTCTCTGACGAATCCCTTACACTATGTTACATTGGTTCTACAGTATCATGTAAAGTCTGTCGTTAACAGCTTTTCCCAATTTTTCAAAAGTTATTCCAGGGATGCCCTTATCAGCCCAACTTCAACGTGTTGGAATACACTCACGGAAACCCACACATCTACGTCGGTGGCGAAATGTACGACCAGGCCACTTCAGGCAATGATCCGATCTTTTATATGCATCACTCATTTGTCGACTATATATGGGAGATGTATCGACAGAACGTGCAGGTTCTACTGTTCATTTATTGATTTTAGATGTTATTGCAGTGAAATACACGTTGATGAATTTTCTGTGATTCTGCTGGAACTGGTTTACACCGCACATAACGAAGCATCGACGTGACTTAAAGGCAGCGTCCGCGTTCAGTTGAGATTTTCCTCTCCCTTCGTGAGCAGGTAGTCAGGTCCGCAGAGGCAACAACTACACCACTTTCGCGGCGCAAAAACGAGTGAGGAGGCCCACGATGCCGTATCATTGACCCAACCTACAATCATTGGCACCGCCCACCATTCATTTCTAATGGTTACCTGATGGTGCGGTTGTTTCGCTGCTGCTTCTCTCCACGTCGAGTGGTGAGAGTGAGGTGATAAGGGAAAACAGCTGATATCAACAAGTGAGAACTCGTGCGACCGCACCTTCTCTTCGCCTTGAGCACGTACAACCTCAGTTAAGCAAGGGGTTCTATATAGAGCCTTTCCTATGATTTCTTTCTGATTTTTCTTCACTAAGGGGTTACTTGCTACCTTGTTATAAGTATTTGAGCCGCATAACTCATCAAATTTGAATGCGGGCTCAGCCTTTAAGACACATTCCGCGATAACCTGATATGTAGAGACTGATGTCCTTTGCACCTTCCCTCCGTTGCGATTCAGTAGCAAGGAAGAGCAGCATCGAGTGAAATGTGACGGTTTTATGTCCCGCCCATACAATTATCGCGGAATAAGTGTTTCTATGTTTCACGAAATTTTTGGTCGATTACTTTTCAGAGTCGCTCAGCGCGTGAACGAGACTATCCAATGGACAACCAACAGTGCAGTAGTGAGCATCACTTCAGCAATGCCTTTATGCGACCCTTTCCACCTATGCGTAACATTGACGGGCTTTCAAATATGTACACAGGTAGCCAGGAGTTCTATCAATATTACAAAGGTAAATAAATATGGATTTTCCAGACAATATGTACTCATTCTCACCGAGGCCGAGCTGTTCGATGGGAAACGACTGTGGATCGAAGCAAGGGACTTCAGGTTTGAAAAAGAGCGAGCTGTAGATAAATCAGAGTTTCAGGTATCTATACTGTGATCGTTCACATGGCTCAGAAAGATGTGCGTCGAAGATCAAGCCGGGAGGCAGTTGTGTTGGTCTGAACAATGGTGAGAAATTTTCAGCGGTGACAGTGCACGCCGTGGAGTTGTGTGTTGAAAGCAGCGTTCATAGTATGCGTTCACCAGCGGTCGCGAGTACAGAGTACGGGGAAGTAGAATAATAGCAAACAACTCGATCAGGCGTCGCGACACCGCACGACCGCTGCCGCAATGTGTGACGGCACCCAATAGGACGTACCCCTTTTCTATTCGTCCGCGCCCTCCCACCGACACATTGCTCCCGATGGTCATCAGCCGACTGCCCTGAAAGCACATTTTGCTGTTAAGACTTGCAAGATTTTTGTGCTACTTACCTTCAAAGAAGAAAGCAGAATAGGAGAGGAAGCCGTCGAAAACATCTAAACGTGCTTAAGGCCGTACTATATTGGCAAGCGATATCTCCCACAGTAGTCGGGTCCAACTTAGCCCCGCTACCTCCTCAACTTTCCAAATCTCAAATTGCCGATGGACTCAACTAGCTTTAGTAATTTGAACCAAGAAGCTTCTCACTAAAGGATCCATTTGTTGTTAACCCCGTGATTTTCGTTGAAAAATCTATAAGTTTCTATTTCACCGTTAATTCAAGGCGAAGACGCTTGCTACAACGGTCGGTGCGTCGGTGGACGGTGTATTGCAGAATCAGCAGAGATCACACCTCCTCCACCAATTGCGCCAAGCAAACCTGTCGTGGTTGTCCAGGTGAGTTGTCTGTCTGCCAACAATTTAATTCACTAACACGACTGTAATTTGCAAATGATTCCCTGGCCGTTTTTCCACAAGTGCCCAGCCAGAAGTTCAGTTATACGGTCAAAGACGTGCAGAGGATTTCGGATCGCATCATGCTTGTCATAGTGATCTTCGGCAAGAGACAAGCAATATTATCTGCGTGTATGCCCCGCAAGCAAACATGCCCAGTACTGTAAAAGGACACGTTTTGGGAGCAGTTACTGACATAACATTTGAATGACCAATCAACGAAGGCCCTTACGTTATGGGAGACTTCAATGAGCACATCAGCGCGAGCAATGACCAGTTTGAAGACATCCAAGGACGATTCGCCTACGGCACAAGAATGAAGATGGTTTGCGAATGTTGGAATATGCCAAGTCACTTGGATCTGATCATCGCTAATTCTCTATTCCAGAAGAGAGAGTCCCATCTGGTCACGTACTACAGTGAAGAAAAAAAACTCAGATCGACTATACTCTTGCGCAAACAAACCAACGATGCGATGTGCTAGACTGCAAGGTGATACCATCGGTAACAATCAACAGTCAACATTGTCCTGTAATCGCCGTTATCAGGATGCCAACAAACTGCCTGCCTTCAAGCCGCCGAGGATTAACAGGAAACTTCGAAGATGGAATAGGAGTGCACACCTGGGGCCAACTGGGGGAGACCCTTATCAATGCTGATTCACCAAGCTCTGCCCGATGATATTGAGGAGGACTGGAAGGAACTAACAAAGGAAATCCGTGGTACCGCGCACGTCATCGGCTACAAATGGGAACTCGAGCACGCACCGGATCTACTCACTTGGTTCTGGAATGATGATGTAGCAGTCGCCGTGAAATTCAAGAAAAATGCGTTTGATGCGTGACATCTCAACCCAGAGATGAGACCAGAGCGAAGTATTGCGAGGCTAAGAGAAAGGCCGACAGACAATCGCTATTGCCATTAAGAGCGAGCAGACTCACTGATCGCGAAACTGAGCATCAAGGAAGACGAAAAGCAAATTTTTCCGCCTTGCCAGGGGGGCTGCAAAGCAACACAAGACTTCATTAGTACGGCGGAGTACTCTGCAC